AAAAGGAAGGTTTTAACTTCAACACAGTAAAAATATATATACTAAAACAGGTATCAAGCAAGAATCACAGTTACATTATTTCTTTGTGAGTCTGATGTTTTACATCTAATTTATATTTTAGTATAACCAAGGAAACCTGTAACTAAAGCTACCTGTCTTCAACTCCATCAACGACCCTAGAAGGATGTAATATTCCCTAAGTAAACAGAATGTGCAATGTAAGCAACTTCCGAAGCTCTAGAATTGACAGAGACATCTTGCTGCCTGGACAGTTACTCAAAGTTCTTTTGTATTATTGCAGCATCCATCTGCAGCTTACAGGCTTATAGTGTCTGGCATACTTTTCCATGAAGCAGGAAATTTGAAGTTTCCTGTACAAACTGGCAAAGTTCAACAGTTGCTTTCTTCTGCATCCTGCAGAATGTCTGACTGTTTATTTCATGAAGCAGGAACACTGAAGGGCTGTCTCACCTTCTTTAGGAAAGTACAGCAGTTACTTTTCTGTGGGTCTTGCATGTCCAGTTCATAAGCATACCATCAAGCAGTCAAGACAAAAGCAGTTTCTTGCCCAAATGGCTAGCCTTGTCCCATTGAAGGAAAACTCCATAACAAGTTTCTTCAATGCCCACTAACCACTCTGAAGTAATTGGTGCTGCCAGAAGCAGACATGTCTCACTGTTAAAAAAAAGTCTAAGTTTTTAAGACATTTTAAATGCCATATTCTGTAGGCCTTTGAAGTCTTTGAAGGTTACCTATCTAACTAAAATATCTCTTTGTATATCTAGAAAACTTAACTTCATGACTACAAGTTAGAGTATTATAGATGACTATTAATCTATATTTCTTAATTATACATTACATTTTTAAATGAGCTGTATAAACATAATACCTTAAACAAGAGTAGAAATATACATATAACAAAACTGACCTTAAATTTGTATAAATAAACCAAAATCCATTCCAAAGTAAAGTATTCATTTCTATATTATATCCCCCTTATTTTTTTTAGAAAGTGACTCTGACCATTGTTTACTTATACTCAACCCCTTTTAAGTGAAAACAAACATTTATAAACAACCATTTTGGGAATTTTGGCATAGTTTTCTCCAAACTGCTTGCTGATATTTGTTGAGTAAAATCTTTTTAGGGTTCACAGAGATTTTTTGGGGGAGCTCTTATTCCATCAAACCATATTAGCCTGGAAAAAGTCCACAGGTTCTCATATTCTGTGGAAACAAAAGTATAACCTCTTTTCCAAAGTAACATCCTCAGACTCAAATTTTGACGTCAAGATACCTTTAAAATATATATATTTGTGTAGTTTAGCAGCTGTCCAATGAAATGTCTCAATATAGTTAACTCATTCACAGTCAAAAATTCAAAGAAAACACAATAATATACATAATCCAGATTTTCTGTGTGTATGTTCCATCTTTATGTGGCTTATTTTTTTACTCTATTACTTTTTAATATTTATTTTATTATCTTTACTCCTTTAATCTATGACTGTCTATACTCTTTCATATTACTTTTACTGTCTTTTTAAAGACTTTGCTTTATTTTTTAAAGCTATTTTTCTATAACTTTCTATTCTCATTTTCTTTTTTTCTTAAGCTTACATACATTTTTTAAAACTACAATATGACCCATTCAGAGGTTTATTTTTGTCTAAATCTGTCTTTATTGTGTATCCATAATCCTTTTTTGATTGCTATTATAAACTGTTTAGCAGGCAGGGCTAGGACCAGATCAGCCGCTTTGCCTGTTGATTCCACCTTGCTTGGCTTTCCAACGTGGCAGAAGTCTGTTTACTGACATCTCTGGGAGCCATGTTTACTACCCCAACTCTGGGAAGCAGTTGGCCCACGTCACCACCAAGTAACCTGCAGCATGCTACTCACAAACCCCATTCAAGTGCTCTGTAGCAGGTCCTCCAGAAAGAGCCAGAAACATTTGTGCTACTAGCATGAACCAAGAGGCTGTTGTCTTCTTTTTTAAAAGAACCACATAATTTTCACTGCTAATGCCAAATCAGGGAGCCTTCTCTTAAAGGAGCTGCACCTCTGCTCACTGCCAGAAAACACAGCCTATATAAAAAAATGTGGCTACCAGGAAGCTGCATTTGGCTCCCATTTTTTGTGGGTCTAGAAGCCCTCTTTTTTTTTAGAGCTCTTTTAGGTCCTATGTGGATCCATGCCTGATGATGGGTGTCACTTTTGTAAAAGGAGACTGTGCTTATGTTTCCTGGCCACCCAGGCCCAAATAATCACACAAAACTATATTAATTACAGCACTGTCTGACCAATGACTCAAGCATATAGCTAGCTAGCTCTTGTGTCTTAAATTAACCCATTTCTATTAATCTGTATATCACCACAAGGCCATGACATTGCTGCATTTTCTATATGTCTTATTTCCTCAGTGGTTGGCTAGCATTTTTCTCCTTTAGTACTTCTGCCCAACTCTGCCTTCTTTCTCCCTGCATTTAGTTTAGTTTTCTCACCTAGCTATATTCTGCCATGTTATAGGCCAAAGCCTCTTCTTTATTAACTTATGATAATAAAATACACTCACAGTATACAGATGGGAATCCCACATCAGACCTTGACAACTTTAATACAAAATATGATCTCTAAATCTCATCCTTTATGTACCTTAAATGATTACTCAGATCTGCATAACTTGCTAGAACATTCCAGTCTCTTCACTCTGGAGCCATCCAATCATTACCATCTTTATATATCTAAGTTCTTTACTAAGTCCACTTCCATATTTACATTCCTCTATCATGTTCTTTCATGTACTGGATTCTGTTTCTAATACCATGAGACTTAGGAATCTTATCAAATATATTTATGGTCTGTTGGGAGAATTTTCTCCCTGGTGGTAGAGGACAAAGCAATGTCTTTCCCATTCCAATAAGTGACAATGACAATGCAAAGCACAATTTCACCAAAGTCTACCCTGGGGTGCCAACGAGTTTATTGAACTTACTTATTGAACATGGTTGAGGAGATACAGAAGTTTGGATGCTTTGCTGGTTCAAATCAAAATGGCCCCAAACTCCCATAGTGAGGGATACTATTAGGAGGTGTGCCCTCGTTGGAGTAGATGTGGCCTTGTTGCAGGAAGTGTGTCGCAGTCACTTCCTGCTGCCTGCTGATCTATATGTAGAACTCTCAACTCTTTTTCCAGCACATGCTTCCCACCATGATGATAATGGACCAAACCCTCTGAAACTGTAAGCCAGCCCCAATGAAATGTTTTCCTTTATAAGAGTCACCATAATTGTGGTGTCTTTTCATAGCAACTGAAACTCTGACTAAATAGATACCTGAAAGCAGCCAGAAAGAAATGTCTCAACCACTAGGGATGTCTCCACTGATGTACAATGGCTTTCATACATCTGCATAGTGGAACTCAGCTTCTCCCTATTCTTCCACTGCCAATATACTCTAGCATTACATTACATTTCTCGGTGTACAAAAGATTTAAGCATGAAGGCACTCAAGGTAAATTCCCTCTTTTAAAGATGGTTTTCTTATAGGTTCATATGCGGAACCCACATCCTCCCAAGTCTTTCCCAGACTATGAACTCTAGCTTCTCCATTAAATGACAGGGTCACATGTCATTAGAGCTGAGTTGCTCACAGTTGTCTGGGAAAGAGGTTGTGCACTCAGAAGGAGAGGATACCCCCATCTGTGATGGAATATCAACAGTCAGCAAATCTAATGGTGATTGTCCTTTGTAAGCAGGCACAACCGTTCATATGAAGGTGCCAGTTGTTTGTCTTATGATAGTACTGAGCAACAACAACTAAATGAAAGAAAGCTAAATAGAAACTGTATACAATAAGATATTATAATATATATTTCTTAGGTACTTAAAGAAAACACAAGACAGTCTTCACATACTACATGGCATCACTACTATTACCATGCTTTTTTCATGGGTGTTTGTAGACAATACAAAGAAACAGCAAATGCATAATAAAACATCATTGAGTGGATGTATAGAGCATCTAGTACAATACAACTAAGAAATTGTTCTTAAAACTACGATTTTCCAGTTTCCTAGAGGGAGATCTTTACACAGAGGGTCTCTCTATACTCTCCTTGGATGAACACCCCATTAGTTGTTTTAACTTAAAAGGTAAATAAACATTTACATCCTAGCATACTAATCTCTAGTGAGCCTTGTTAGCGTACTATTCATTATGAGGGTGTTTTAGAGGCACCACCCCTTAGCTAAATTCTCCTTTGTGTGACTTACTAACCCCTAAGCATTGGTAAACCCTTCCTACCCACAAGTCTACTCTTCTATATTAAAGCTTACTATGGAGTGTTACCCAGTTCATAAGATGACATTTACAACCTCCACAAAATTAGCTGCGAATGAATCTTACTCTTAAATGTCAAATGCAAAGTGCAAAACTTTTGGAAGATACTTGATAAATTAGACCTAACTGAGTTTGGCAACCTGCCCGGGCCTTAGGAGTTTTCTCTAAGGCCCTGATGTATAGAGCAAAAACAGATCTTCTCCAAAACCTAGAATTTGTTGGGAGAGCTGTTCATGGTATGGAACCAGGCCTCTGGGAAGGGGCTGTTTCAGATCCTGATTATGCAACCCTTTTCATACATGGGGCAGTGGTTTTTGGTTACAGAGGCACTGTGTACTTTGTTTATAATGTTCTTGAGATACCCTGTGTTCCTTCTATGTAATATTGTCTGAATTTGTCCACTTCCTTTTAAAACTGAATTGATTGGTTTATATTAACCTGAAACTTGCTGTTGTAAATGGCTGAAATCTGCATCCAGTCTAGGATAGGTTTGGGTTAAGTGTGAGAGCCAGGATCAGGAACCCTTGTGCTGGGTCCCTTCAATTCTCCAGGCCCCTCGGGACAAGTATTCTTGTCACTCAGGCCTCATTAGCCAATCATGGTCTCCAACAGATCTGTCAGTCATATGGGAGGGTTCTTCCGGGCACCAGGCTTCTGGCTTAGAGCCACTGCTGAAGAAAGCGGAAGTTGTCCGGTGTGCTGAGGAAGGCGGAAGTTGTCTTGGGTGCTGTGCTGGGGTCTCCGCCGGGGGAAAGCTGTGGGCAGGCAGTTCCGGCAAGTCCGGCAGCGCACCATGGTGAGTGAGGGGCTGCCGTCCCCAGACAGGCAGGGGCGGTCAGCCATGGTGAGCGACCTGAGCGGCCTCCGGAGTCATGGGAGCCGCTGTGATGGGTCCTACCACGGCTCGGTCGGGGCCAGCGGCCAGCTGCAGAGTTAAACGTGGTCCCACCTGGTCCTGCACGGTCCTGCGTGTCCTCCGTGATCCTTGTAATTCCTTGGGCTGGGTGGAAGCCTGTGAATAACTTCACTCCGCGGGCTGAGTTTGCGCGCGTTATTGGGAGCGGGACTGTGCTTAGAAACATCCTTGACGTCACTGTGAAATCCCGGCTCCTGTCGTGCGTGTATTGTCTCTGTGGAAGACAGATTTGCCAAACTCGGAGAGCTCTGATCTCTCTAGTACCTTCCAGAAGTTCTGCACTTTTAACATTGAATGTTTAGGTGCACAAAATTATTCCTTATTCCTTCTGGAATAATTTTGCGGAACTTGTAAAGTGTCTCCTGTGTAGAGTAGCACGCCACTGCTAAACTGTGATGTAGAAGAGTAGAGTTGGTGGTCGTTGTTGTGTGTGAGCATCAGTGGAGTGGGGTTTGCCTGAAACCACAGAGGCAGGAGAGGGAAGTGCTACAGAGCCATAGCCCACCTTTATGATGCCCTGCACTTCCAAAGAGCGCTCCAGAGCATGGGGCTGTTTGGAAGAGAGACCAGTACTTGGAAGGTCAGAAATATAACAGTTTCGGGGTCACTTTGAATCATCTTTGTGAGTTTTGTTGAAATCTTTGTTTATTTGCTTTCTATACAGCTCACCCGTAGGCAGCGTTGGTCAGGTTCACTGTCTTCCTAGCTGTGTTTCCTGAGGTCTTTTGAAGAAAACTTGACTGTCCTTTTGTCCTTTTGTTCTTGGCTTTTCCCCTCCACTCATATTCTTCACACATTTTTGTTTGGTTTAAATTTGTGGTAAGCACAGAAGTCACATTGTATTAGTGTATTTACTATTTCTTCATAGTTCCATTGAAAATCCTCAAGTCTTCCACATGGAGTGTGGCTTTCAGGTTTCCTGTTAAAAATCTTTGGGAATTTCGTTGGATTATTAAACTTATACTTCAAATTGAGCATACCCAATGTCCTTTTGAAAAAGTCATGTGGATGGTAATGTTCGCAGGGATGTAAAGGGATAAAGGATACTGTCGTGCAGAATCACTCACTCAGCAAACTGCAGTGAGAGCGAATCCGACACCTGTGTGAGAAGATGCACGAAGCCAGAAGAGGAGGATAGGATAGGTCAGTGCACAGAATTCATAGTAATAATCACAGGAGAGGACTGTAGGATAGGTCAGTGCACAGACTTCATAGCAATAACCACAGAAGAGACTGTAGGATAGGTCAGTGCACAGACTTCATAGTAATAATCGCATAAACGGTATCCCACTAAGTTTGGTTTATTTGAGAAAACTAAGAGTGAAAATCAAACATGCTCCAGAATTGAACAGTGGATCTGAGTGTGACACGGGACTGTGTAGTAGCATGTGAAATAGGTTGGGATTTCCCACAGATAGCAGTTAAAATCTGTAGCATGATTAATAAGAACCCAGAGACAGAAATTAGGGTTCAACCTGAAGGTCAGAAAAGCAAAACAGTCAGCCACTGGCTCTTACTTCTATCTCTGTCCGAAATAGTGATCCTGCCTCCAGGAATCTCAGAATGAGACTGACTGAGAGCTGTATCCTCCTGTCTTATATTCCTCTCTCTGGTGCTGGGAATAAAGGAGTGCACCAGTACCACCCAATTTCTATGTTAAATTAGTGTGGCTACTGGGATTAAAGATGTGTGGTACCATTGCCTGGTCCGTAAGACTGATCAGTGCGGCTGTTTTACTCTCTGAACTTCAGGCAAACTTTATTTATTAAAATACAAATGAAATATCACTCAAAAATCAGTTAAAGCCATGTTATGCTGTTATAGTTGATTAAAAAAAATTACACTTATTATTGTACGTATTTTGATGCATTTGGCCATATTACCTACACCCAAGCCACCTCATCACAAACATCAGAGTAAACTGTGTTCCCCAGACATTCTTGTTCTGTATGTGTGTTTACAGGATACAGAGTTCTCATAAAATGACAGAATTACTCCAGACCCAGCAATCTTCTCAGTGTATCTTATCAAGGACTTACTCTGACAGCACTTAATTACAGCTTAGGCAGTGTCAACCCATTTCTTTTTCCCATCCTATTTTATTCTTCAGTGTACTCTCATTTGTCAGATGGATGTGAGAGCCCAGCCATCTTGTCTGCACTACAGGTAGCAGTAGAAAATGAAGGGCAGAAAGAACAGAGAATCTAGCTGAGGCAATAATCACTTTCATAGGGTTTTTCTGACAGGTCCTTTATACAAGTCTTCCACTTGCTTTTTTAGAGTTACCCCAACATGCTTGATAATATTTGAAGCTATTGTGAAGGGTGCTGTTTCTCTGATTTGTTTTTCAGCCTATTATCATTTATATATAAGGGTTTCTGGTTTTTTTTTTTTCTGTTGAGTTAATCTTGTATTCAGTCACTTTGCTGTGTTTATTGACTGTAGAGTTTAGCAGTTGAATTTGTATGGTCATGTGTGTGTATATATGTATATGTGTATAAATGTATAGATGCATACACACATATGCTATATGTATATGCATATATATGCTATCATATCATCTGCAAATAATGATTCTTTGACTTCTTCCTTTTCAAATTATATCCCCTTGATCTTCTTCAGTTGTCTTTTTGCTCTAGTGAGAACTTCAAGTACTATATTGAAGAGATGTGGAGAGAGTGGACCGCCTTACCTGTTCCTGATTTTAGTGAAATTGGTTTGAGGTTCTCTCCATTTAATTTGATGTTGGCTGTAGGCTTGCTGTAAATTTCCTTTCTTATGTTTATGTATGTCCCTTGTATGCCAAATCTCTCCGAGACTTTTGTCATGAATGAGTGTTGTGTTTTGTCAAAGGCTCGTTCAGTGTCTAATGCGATGATCCTGTGCTTTTTTTCCTTTCAATTTATTTATATGGTGGATTACATTTACTGATTTTCATATGCTGAGCCATCTCTAATCCTATTGTTCTGTTCCTGTTCTGGAGCAACCAAAAATCAGGTCTGGGTTAACAGTGTGGTAAGTCTCCAGACAACCTACCTGATCTTCTGGCACGCATGAGATGTGACTGAGCAATGGGTATCTGGGATACAGAGATGAGGCAAGTGGGGATGGTCTGAGGGATTCACAGGTGGTGTGAACAGGGTGAGAGGAAGGTACCCTTGGTTTTCTGTTCCATTTCTATGGGCAACTGTGAGAATTGTGTCTGCGGTAGCAGATAGTGGGATAGGTCTTTGTGCGGCCTACCTAGTCTTCTAGCAGGCATGTCTCTGGTTGAGCAGGGCTGTCAGCCCAAGATGGGGTCTGGGACACAGAGAGGGGGAAGGAAGGGAAGGGCAATCTTTAATTTCTTTCTTTTATTAGAAAATGTTATGAAACAGAGCAGAATGAACCTTGGTTCAGGTTCAAAGAGCCCCACAGCGGGTGAGAGCCATGGAGACAGAGCTTACTTTGGAAGTTTTATTGGGGAAAGGGGACAGAGTAGGGAAGAGAGAGAGAGAGAGAGAGAGAGAGAGAGAGAGAGAGAGAGAGAGAGAGAGAGAGAAGAGAAGAGAAGAGAAGAGAAGAGAAGAGAAGAGAAGAGAAGAGAAGAGAAGAGAAGAGAGAAAGGGAGCACACAGAGCAGCCTCATATGGGAAAGAGAGAGAGAGGTGCAGAGAGCTAGAGAGAAAGATGCAAAGAGGCAGAAAGCTATGGAAAGAGATGAATGAGAGAGAAGAGAAAGAGTAGGAGGAAGTGGGGGAGTTCCTCCTTTTAAAGTGATGGGGCGCAGTTATGTGCACAGAGATCACACTAGGTCAGGGTACTGCCTGCCATGCGCACAGGGTGACACACTCTGCCAGGTCCCCAAGGGGCAGGGGCAGGTGTGCCTGATGCTAATATTCCTCCCTTTTGTTTATTAAAAAAAAAAGAGAGAGAGGAGTTAGGCGTAGCAGGTTAGGGGAATGAGGGTGCAGAGTTCTCGAGACCACTTCCTTCTGATTTGTGGGTGTTGAAATCTTGGGGGATGTGAGAAAGCAGGGAAGCTTGCCACGCCCTGGAGTATCTGGTTGCCTGATTGCTGTCCAGGCTCCATGGACCTGGCAGGGTGCTGGCAGAGCAGATGACAAGGTTAATTTAGGGAAGAAAATTTCCTTAGGTGCTGGTTATTGAGGGAGGGGGATTGCAAGACCAGGGAAAACTGGAATGGTACTTATCTGGAGTGAATCTGCCTTGTTTGGGTGGATCCAAGTCGACTCCCCAGAGCTTACAAGAATACTTTGAGTTTGTGAAAACATAAGTTTAGACCTATAAGCATTCTCACTGTTTATAATCGGTACTGATATTTACATTGTAGAAAAGGATGGTGTACTCACATAGTGGTAGTACTCAGCCAGGTTAATGGCTTATCAGGATTTTGGCAATTAATGTTAAGACTGGGAACTTTTGGAGTCTTAGTATAACAGTGTCATAGTGAGAGAGAAATCTGGAACATACTGCATTCTTTTTAATGTCTTGAATTGTTTTATCAGCACTTAAGCCTTTTCATCCTCAGACCTTTATAATTTGTTTGTACACAGCTTATTAACTCGCATTTGCACACCTTAAAACACCTTCTTAGACCCTAAAACATTCTTAGATCCTCATATCTTAGGCTTTTCTATCTTTCCATAAGTGAACCTTAAAGCACCTGTTCCTTCCCCATCATGATGGCGTCACCTTAACACTCAGGTTGGTTGCTGAGGGCAGTCACTGCAAAGTTCCTTTAAACAAAGGTATGGTAAGAAGTCATCTTGACACTTGTTTTGTGAGTTTATCTCTTTTCTGAGTCTGGTAATGATGTGGATTGTGTCTGGACTTAGTATTAGCTCTAGGAGAGTGAGGCCTGTGACCTGAATTTCACACCGAGAACTTCGAAGGCAGTTGAAACCTTGCTTGCTGCTGTTAAGCTGGCAGGGCTACTAGTCATCAAATAGCATCAGAGTTCTGAGGAGGATAAACTTTACCCAGAGACTTACTTGCTTGACAGCCACCTCAGGTCCTCCATGGTTGTTGAGGGCAGCAGTCTCACAGCAGCGTTCTTCTTCAGCTGGCGAGGCGGGCTTGTAAGGCCCTAGATGGTCACATAGGCTTCTCCTCATGGGAGGACCTGCTTACCTTTGTCTAGGCAACTTGAGGCAGTTGAGTTTTCAGTGTCCTGATGCCCACAGTCGGAGCAGCAGTTGAAGTGAAAGGCAGTTTTCCCCCCAGTGGCTAAGCGTGCTGTCACTTATGAAGCAAGTTATGGGTGGAGGTTCTTCTGTACCCATTTGTCTTCTTTGGAGGAAATAGGGGTGCTTGCAGGAGTAGTCCTGACTCTCCATTACAAAAAAACCTTTTTAATTAAACATTTTAAATGCCATATTCTGCAGATCTCTGAGCATTTGAGGACTGACTTTCTATTGGGTATATCTGAGTAGACAAACTTTGTCTTTAGTTACTTGTTTTAAGCGTAGTTCTGAAAACATATAGGGGACTAGTTAGGGCTTAGCCCTATAGTTAATTATATCAGTACTTAGCATGACTACAATTAAAGAGCTTGATCATTTATTCCTTATCAACCTGAATAGATTTTATAACCTTAAATTTTTATCAACGTATAGATTATATTTTAGGCCAGATATATAGTATGGTGTAACTGATCTAATCATATATTTTATCATCATACAAAAGTACATACCAATCTCAGATATTTGAGACTTGTTGCTTTCTTAGCTTAGAAGGAGATACAAGGAACAGAGAGCTCATTGGGACTAAGAAGTTTACTCTTTAACTTTAGTAAACGATGTTTTTCTAAACAATAGTTATTGGCACACATAAGAGCAGTTGAATTTAAATTTCATACATAAACACACAGTGTTGGAGCTAGCTTACATTTTCACATAAAAGTTAAATCCAAGTCACGTGTGTGTGTGTGTGCGCGCACATCCACAGACCCTCCCCCTACACACACACACACACATCTTTTTGTTCTTACTAAAAATGGCAGTTGTCCACATGGTCAGCCTTAGTAGAGATAGCTGTTAGGTCATCTGATCGTATACTGAAACCTTTTATCTGAAACTCTACAAAGGAACTCTACAAAGGAGACAAATGTCAAAGCAATTCTCAGTCACAGAAACTTTCAGTTTTCTAACTTCTACAACCAAGTTTTGCATAGACTTTGAACAACTGATGGACTTTCTTTGGACCACCAGCTCCAAAATAATGGCATAGGGACTTCTTATTATGAAAGCTTGGCCTTAACTTAGACTTGTTCCCAACTTGCTCTTGAAACTCAGATTAATCCATTCATTTCTATTAATCTATGTTCTGCCATGTGGCTTGTTACCTCGCCTCCATACTGTAATCTCTGCCTCTCAGATTCTGTCCTAGAGTTCCCATCTCTGCCCGGAAGTCCCACCTATCCTCTTCAGCTCTTTATTAAAGAAATCAGAAGTTGCCTTGGCAGAGACATACCTTCACAGTGTACAAAAAGATTATCCCATAACATTGAACCGTTTAGGAAGAACTCAGGTAAGATTTACATACTGCAAACAAAAGGTAGTTCACACAAAAGGAGACAGTCACAAAAGGGAGATCAAAGCCCAGGGGCTAACACTCCAGAATCTAGCCGGCTGCCATGATCTGCAAGAACTCTGTTTACGCCCACCCATGTGCAAGCTCTTTGCTACTGAGACATTTCTCCTTGTTGTTTATTTGTGATCAACATTTACATTGCTAACATTTTATCTGTCCATTTTTAACTGTCTAATCATGTATTCCCTTTTAATAACTTTTTATTAATGCTGCAGTTTAAACTGGGGCACTTCAGGTTTCTAGAAAATTAATACAGAGCTGTATAAATCTTTAGAAACTTCAGTAAAAATCTCTCAGTTCTTTCTTTTTGTTTGATTGATTGATTTTTGCAGGGTGATAGAGTCTTAATATATACCTTTGGCTATCTTGGGACTCTTTGCTTAGACCATACTGGCACCCAACTCAATGAGATACACCTTCTTCTACTTCCTGAGTGTTGGGATTAAAGGCATGAGACATTACACCCAATTTTTTCATCTTTTTTTTTCTAGTTAGTAATTGGTCATACAGTGTTTCTGGTGTGTACTCAGTACTGTTGATCTGTTTGCTTGTCTCTCTCTTATTAAGTCTGGTATAATTAGTGTATTTCTCGTGCAAGGCTATATCCCATTCAAAGGGTGCAGAAATGACAGGGGTGGACCTCCTAAGGTTCCTTCTAAAGTGACTTGGTGATTACAGTTAAAATTCTGTGTAATGGAATAAAGTGTGGGAAGCACCAGAATTATATGACTCTATTGTAAAAGAAGTACACATTTGCAATGCTGTTTGTATCACACTTTCTTTTGTACACGTGCATGGGATATTTTAGAATGCAGTGACCTATGATGATGTGCATGTTGACTTCACCCGGGAAGAGTGGGCTTTGCTGGATCCCTCCCAGAAGAATCTCTACAAGGACGTGATGCTGGAGACCTACAGGAATCTCACTGCTATAGGTATGAATTTTGCTTCACTTTTTAAAATAAGGGGGCAACTGCTTCTTGGATATTGGTGCTCTTCTGCAATTTTTATTGAGAAAGAGGAAAGATGAGGTGAATAAATCAGTTAGAGTTCTAAAGTTCAATGAAGATAATTAAATGTTTCATAATTTCCAATAATAGACATTTTCTGTACTATATTTTAGGCTACAATTCGGGAGACCATTATATTGAAGAACCTTGTCAAACTTCTAGAAGAAATGGAAGGTAATTTTCATGTGCAAGTGGATACAAATGTAACTCTTTAAGAAATTGTAATGTGAACTGGAAGTTTTAAGGCAAAGCAGCTGTGTAAATAAGCACTTGAGTGTAGTGATGATTATTAAATTATCACAACCATGTGCCTCAATGTCAGGGAACTAATTTGTGTTTACAGGTCATTCTTATATGAAGAAGACAAGGAAACAATGCCTTAACAGAGATCACCTTACATGGCCCCATGTAAAGTCCCAATCCATTTAATTTCATACCACTTCAGTATTCCAAAAGGTATACACAATGAGAAGGTGATAAATATATGTCCAAAATCTTATAATAAGCAAATAGTACATGGAAAAGCTGGTGTTACCCATATACACAAATATATGGGAGTTGTTGGGACTTTGCTGAGTTCAGTGAGAGAGGCAGTTTATGAGCTTCAAGACGATTATTGTGGAGCACCTTAACTTCTGTACCACAGGCCTATGAGGAACCAAAAGACAAACGATGTGAATGCAATGTGGAAACCTTTCATTAGTTATTCTTTCATTACTTGATATTTCATATGTCGCTCTGCAGACAAGCCATGTGAGACGTAAAGAAGCAATATCCCCTCTATACAGTAGTCCTTGCTTGGAGTAGACTTGTTGAATGAAATACACGTTTATAATTCATTGGTTTTTCCAGCTCCATTGGGACTATATCAGCAAACTAACACTATAAGATAGCCTATGAGTATTAGAAATGTGGAAATCTTCTGTGTGTCCTAGTTTGCTATGCAAATGTGGTATGATTCACACTATTGGAAAACTTACTGATGCAACCAGTGTGACAAACTTCCAACTTTTCCAGTTCTCTTCAACTGTCTGGAAAACTCATATAAACGATGTATAAATGTGAGCCATGTAATAAAGGCTCTTACCATCACAGGTATCTTCAAAGATGCAAAACAACCTTTAGTGAAGGGGAATACTGTGAGTGTAAACAAAGTGATAAAACCCTAAGATCTGATTTGGCTTTACAATAAGACCAAATTCTAAAATTAATTCATTCAGGTAGAAAGATTCATGAGTGTAATATATTCAATAAAGCTTTTACATGTACCAATTATTTTTGCAGGCATGAAGGAAATCATACTGGAGTGAAATCCTGTGAATATACTCAAAGTGATAAAGCCGTTGCATATGACAGTCATCTTCAAAGACATGAAAGAATTCCTACTGGAGAAAAACGCAATCAATGTAGTCAGTGTGGTAAAGCCTTTGCACATCACAGTTATCTCCGAATACATAAAAGAACACACACTGGAGAGAAACCCTGTGAATGTAAGCAATGTGGTAAAACCTTTGCACATCTCAGTAGTCTCCAAAGACATAAAAAAACACATACTGGAGAGAAACCCTACAGATGTAATCAGTGTGATAAGGCCTTTTCACAACCCACTAGTCTCCAAATACATATAAGAACGCATACTGGAGAGAAGCCCTATGTATGTTATCAATGTGGTAAAGCCTTTTCACAACACAATAGTCTCCGAGTACATAAAAGAACGCATACGGGAGAGAAACCCTACAAATGTAATGAATGTGGTGAAGGCTTTGCACGTCACAGTCATCTTCAGAAGCATGAAAGAATGCATACTGGAGAGAAACCCTATGAATGTCTTCAGCATGATGAAGCCTGTGCACATTTCTATACTCTTCAGCATCATGAAAGAATTCATACTGGAGAGAAACCCTATGAATGTACTCAATGTGGTAAAACCTTTGCACATAACAGGCATCTCCGAATGCATAAAAGAACACATTCTGGAGAGAAAACCTGCAAATGTAATCAATGTGGTAAAGCCTTTGCACATAAGAGTTATCTCCGAATGCATAAAAGAACACATTCGGGAGAGAAACCTTATGAATGCACTGAATGTGGTAAAACCTTTGCATATCATAGTTATCTCCGAATACATGAAAGAACACATACTGGAGAGAAACCCTACGAATGTACTGAATGTGGTAAAGCTTTTGCACGGCACACTAGTCTCCAAATACATAAAAAAACACACACTGGAGAGAAACCATATGCATGTAATCAATGTGATAAAGCCTTTGCACATCACAATTACCTCCGAATACATAAAAGAACACATACTGGAGAGAAACCCTATGAATGTGCTCAATGTAGTAAAACCTTTGCACATCACAGTAGCCTTCAAATACATAAAAGAACACATACTGGAGGAGACTCTATGAATGCAAGCAATGTAGTGAAGCCTTTGCATGTAACAGTACTCTTTCAAGTCATGGGAAATAATCATGTTGGAGAGAATCCCTAAACATGTAGTCAGTGTGCAAAGTCTTTGCACTTTGTGGTATTCTTCATTCAAGAGGAGAACCTTTAGTGTATAATCAATCTTTTAAAGTCTTTGCACATCACAGTTGTCTTTGAGAACCTGAAAAAACTCATATCAAAGGATTTGGTAAAATCTTTAGCCAGCATTCTTATGTTCAGTTATACAAGATTATTTATTCTGGAGAAAAAAAAAGTCTGACAGTTGTCGAAAGTCTGTTCAAGCTTATGATGTCCCTCTTTATTTTGTTTGTACCTGTAAACTCATATGGACAAAAGCCTTATGAATTTAAATAATAAGGTAACCCTTTTAGATTTTACACTTCGGTTCAATAACATGAAGTAGCTCATGTAGGTGTAAAACCTAATGGGTGTGATTGTTCTGTGCCCTCCAAGTCTTCCATTTTTCCTTTTTTGGGCAACTACATGTAGCTTTCAGTGACAGCATCCTGGAGGTTCCCACTCTGTGGTCACCACACGAGCCTTAGCTCCTCAGTCTCTCTCCTGCCATCTCTGTAACGTGCCTGCCTGGTAGGAGTAAGGGTATTCTAAAGATAGAAACATCTTTTCTGTCTCCCCTGTTGGCTAGCAGCTAGTGAAACAGTGCACCCCTTGAGATCCCCATGAGTCTCACTGTGGTCAAAGACTGAGACCTCCAGAAGGAAACTCTGCTGAAGACACATTTGCCCCTTATCTGAATACCTTGCATTAGAGAAAGCTGAGAATTGGGAGGGATTTGGGGATGGAAAAAAATTATAGGGCTTTGTTAGATTTCTTAGTTGCCTTCTAACTAAGGATGAATTGATTACCTTATATCTTCATAACTGTTCCAAACTCATCATACTGAATAAATACCATGTTTTAATAATTCAATCATTTGCATTTTTCTATTGTTTGTTTATGTGTCTATTTTAACAAATAACCATACTGTGATTCCCTGTCTGGCCCGGAACTCACTCTGTAGACTAGGCTGTCTTAGGACATCAGAGAGATCTGCCCACATTGCCTCCAGAGTGTCTGCATTACAGGTGGGCACATGCTGTGGTCCACAGGATTGATTATACAGTGAGAATACAGCTGACAAAATCATTAGGCTGGCCCACCAGGATCACACATTCCAGTGGAGTAAACCAATTTGTAGAGCTTGGAGGATACCTGCCTTTTGAATAGTCACTGCCATTTCTGTAAAACCTTGTGAAGCCATAGCTCTCTTTTCTGTAGTGGGACTCATCCCCAAAAACCCCAGCAGTATGTTAATCAATTGTTGGGCATAACTTCATCATGTACTGTTGTACCGGATGACTTTTCATTTTTCTGTATAATATTGATATATAGAATATAATGCCTTGTATTCTTAAAAAGGCCCCATAGAAAGGAAATTTTCACTTGGGGGTTAGCTGGAATAAAGCCACCACTTGGCCCAGACGCTCTGTATTTTACACTAAGTAACCTCAGTTTTCCCTTTGATCTAGCCACCTTAGATGTTATCTCTAGGGTTGAGAGTGAACCTTTAATCAGCTAACATTTAGGTGAAAATGTTAATGCATCCCGCACAGTAAGCTGGTTGCGGTGGTTACCACACTGCTGTATTCCCAGCCACAGCCAGAATGGAAGTGCTTAGAAAGTGCACAGCACTGCCGTGTTTTTTCCCCCTTTTTTCTACATTTATCAGTCACAAACTTCTAGCTTAACTAACCACACAAATGTAGTTAAAACTCAAACCCCCTCTCCCTCCTCTTAGAAATCGCAGCCCCGCCCTCTGTTTACCCTTTTCAGATATGCCCAGGCGCTTCACGCCACGTCTCTTCTGAGATTCTAAGTAAGATTACAGACACCCACTTTGTCGCCTTATCTGTCTTCTTGGCCCCCGAAAAAATGCACACCTGGTATCCTTGGTAGTGCCAGAGAATTGTTTCTGTGTGGGTGTATAAACCTTGTGAGAAAGAGAAGAATAAATGGGACACGAGGAGAAGAGGACGTGTGTGAGCTGACTCACTCCTTTGACCCCAGATCCCATTAGCCAACTCCCGCTTGCAAGTGCCCTTTCTGAGGCCCTTCACAACTTGATATCCTAGTTCTCTTAATTGTCTTAGTGAGGATGAGTCACTGAGCCTAGATGGTTTGGGTAGCCAGGACACAGGCTTTGGCCCTAACTCCAGTACCAGAAGAAGGCTCCCATTAAATGCACCCCTCCTACTTTAGAGTCCACTGTCTTCCAACTGTGAGCAATGATTTTCTTTATCATTGAGTCTGCTATAACTCAGGGACTGGGCAGATTTTGAAATCCAGGCTTACAGATATAAGAGCTTTCTGAATACAGGTAAGTGTACCTGCTCATTTCACTCATCCCGTTACCCTAATGACTCAGTGAGTGCAGTTGAAGCCACCTAAGCCACGCATGGTGGCACAGGCCTGTGATTATGGTACTTAGAAAGTGGAGACAGGAATTTCAGGATTTCAAGTCATTGAAGTTGAAAATGGTGGGAGGCCCAAGAACTAAGGGAGATAATGATTAGTTTTAGCCAGTGTCCATAGTCTTTACTGCAGCTCCAGAACTTCAGGGTCCTGGCACCAGCAAGCATACACTGAGGTATTTACACCCCAGGTTTTCTAATTATAATGTTTCCTGTCCAAGGCAGCCCAGTTCACTTCAGGGTCAGACTCCTGTTGCACCTTAAACAGTGGAATTTTTCTCCAAGGGGAGGAATTAGATTCAGGCAGGGATGAGCTCCCCAATTGCAGATCCAATGCAATGTATTCAGTCCTGAACCATATACATACAACCAACAGAAATAGACTCAGCAAGTTTTATTCATGTATTTTTACATGGAGAGAAGACAAGGGGGAAAGTGATGTAATATATTTTAATTAAAGTGTATAAAATATTTTTTAATAAAGTAGCTAGAGAGACAGCTTAGCAGTTAAGAGCCCTGGGTGTTGTGGAGGACACAGGTTCCAGTCCCAGAACCAACCTGGTTGCTAAAGATGGTTACTCCAGTCTAAAGGTATCTGGTGCCCTCTTCTGGCCTGTGTAGGTACTGTACACAGACACTTGTAGGGAAACACATGTATACAAACCACAAAAATAAAGCTTAGAAACAGAATTCTCTACAGTGATGTCACAGCCCAAGACAGCAGGCAAAGCTAGTTAAAATGAACTTCTTTTCGTACATGTGGCCTTTCTCGGAGCCAGCCTGCTCAGAAGCAAAGGCTGAGACTAGAGTCGCTCAGCAGGACTGTTCATCTAAGAACCTCATGCACGGTGCTTGCAGGTGTGTTCCTTGATGTTTTCTGTATCTGTGTTCTCTGCCCTTTGTACGTGTAAGAATTAAAGGCAATGATACATCTTTTTAAATCTGTTGATAATATCTTTTAAATGTAGATCATATTATATGATTAAAAGATTTCTTCTGTAATGGATCTGGCTATCCTCTAGACTTGCAATCTTCTGTCTTTATTTAAATTGTTCAGTGTACAACCTGGGGCCTGAATCTAAAAGAGACAAATGCAAATTTTATTCTAGTTTGGCTCCTCTTTTAGTATTAGCCAGATGCATTCTATTGTTAAAGAGATTTTTATTAATCTTTTAAGAGTGTGGATTAGTCAGACAGTTGTGGTGCACACCTTTAATTCCAGCCCTTGGGAGGCAGAGGCAGGCAAATTTCTGTGAATTTGAGGCCAACCTGTGATGTGTTATTCCCCTCTGTATGCTGTAAATATGTTTTATTACCATTGGTTAATGGTACTTAAAGCTACTTTGGGCCTGTGGCATGGTAGGATAGAGCTAGGCGGGAAAATGAAACTGGGAGAAAGAATGTGGAGTCAGAGAGTCACCATGTAGCTGCCGAAGGAGACAGATGGCCTGGAACCTTACCAGTAAACCATGACCCTCCTAGTAAAATACAAAATAATAGAAATTGGTTAATTCAAGATGTAAGAGCTAGCTAGGAATAAGCTAGAATCATTGGCCAAACAGTGTTGTAATTAATATAGTTTCTGTATAATTATTTTGGATCTTGGCAGTCAGGAACAAATGAGCAGTCTCCGCCTGGTTTAAAACGTGAGTTCTAGGACAGGCTCCAAAACTACACAGAGAAACTCTTATCTAGAAAAAAAATCAATCAATCAACCCCCCCAAACAAACAGAGTGTGGACTAATTTCTATCTGGGAAGGCATATTAATTCTAGAACTGCACATCCAGTGTTTTAGAAAAATGTTTGAGACAAGTTCTCTTATGTTTACTCATGTGGCCTTGATCCCCTTCAGATACTCTCTAGGGCCATGACCTCACTGTCCTATTGATTAAATCTACTAAATTATTAATGCCCTGTACCACCACTGTGTTTTAAAATTACTCATTTGAATCATGTAGTAAACTGTCCATTGCAGTAACTGGAAAAGGATAAAGGATTTGCATGAGGATCATGGTATTTGTCTTCAGACTAGAATAGGAGGAATAGTTTGTTGTCTACACCACAGTGGGAAACAGGGTAGGCTATTAGTTGATGGAGTCATCATGAAAAAGGACCTGTTTGTGGCAGGTGAGTGATTTGTAATTTATCAACATGCATTTATTCATATCATGTGAATGAAGCCAGGCTAGATTGGTGGGTTTACAATTTGGGGAGGTTAGCTTGAACCAATGAATAGTGATTTTCCAATGAGGGGGCTCTCCTTTGCAGATATATACAGTCTAGGTTGGCACAGTTAAGTCAGCTCAGTGGGTTGAGTAAAAGGCCATTGGCTGGAACTGTGTGTGTCAATGTACAGATCTCAATGGCTAACATTGCATAAAAGGGCAAGGCCAAACATTATTTTATTATTGCCATTCCCTCTACCAGAGAATGGTGTGCTCTTTTTCAAAGTCAATAGAGCTATTGCTTTTTCAATAATATTTATCTTTTTTAAAAAGTCAATTGTTACTCTAATCTCTTACATGTTTTTATTCTCAAATATTTTCTAGTCATTAATTTCTGTTTTTCTCGGGTGCTGTTGATTTTATCTGTTTAGAGCAGTTTCTCCCATAGCCCAGGCTTGTCCCACACTATGTAATTAAGAATTGATTTGAACATTTAATCTTGCCTCTGCTGCTCAGGGATGGGAATAGTTCTGCCACTCCTTCTTGTCTGGGCCTTGACTGGTGTGTGAAAAGGAAAAATAGATCAATGAATGAGAGTCCTCTAACCTCTCTGGCTTTTATTGAGAAGTTCTAAATGCAGAGAAACCTGTGTAAGAATCGAGTACACTGCTGGGCTTTAAAGCTGGTGTAGTGTGGCGCAGAAAGGGAAGGGC